CCCTGTTGGAAAGAAAACCTTACCAGGAGCCATGAGGGGAGAACACTAGGCTGGATTAATTAAGGAGGCTGCAAAATTACTTTCCCTGGATGTCTTCAGAGGCTGGGCAGAGAGAAAGATACTAATCTTCATAAACATTTACGACCTGCCAAAGTCTGCCAAAGGGATCTCACCGCATACATACAGATTCTTAAATAAAGACCCATCAAGGAGAGTACACAAAGTAAAAAACAAGGCTCCCTTTCTTCTCCTTCTCAGAGGATGCTGGAGTGGGTTAGTTGGGTGTACGTCCTTTGATTTCATCTTCTTAAATTCTGAGAGGACAGAATAAGGCCCATTTATAGAGAACAAGGGTCACATCCTCTCAGAGGCCTCTTCTAATGGCCACTTCCTCCTTCCCACCCCACTGTTTACCTGTACAGGCATCCATGATAGCAACAATGGCGCTGAGTTGCCTTTCTTTACTTATGCTTATGCTTCCTCAAGGAAAGAGTCCACTTTATTTACTTAACCCCCCAGTGCCCAGTACAGTGCCTGGTCCTGTTCAAGGGAATGAGTACACTGAGGCTCAGAAAAGTTTGGTGACTTTGGTAAAACTCAAGCAGATCTTTCTGGTTCCAAAGTCCATGATCTTCCCACTATGACATGCACTCTCCTAGGTTCTCCTGAATGTGCAGGTGGTTTAGATGGATAGGATGACCTCCTAAGGAACCTCACAGCCCTGTAACTGTTGTGGACAAACCCCAAGGTCCAATGGGAAAAGAAACTGTACCACAGATCCCCAGCAAATGCCTGATAGCTCCACAGGGCGCAGGAAACTAGATTTGACTGGGAAGGGGTGGTAGGCCTTCCTTTAAGCACCCGCCTCCGCTCCCCTCCTACCACAACCTCATAAACTCAGGAAGCAGTGCTTTCTGGGTAGGGCCCCCATGCAGGCCAGCTCCTCTAGCTCTTGGCAGCAGGAGAACAACCACACTGGCCAGGGTTTAGCCAGGTGGGCTTTTCTGAGCTCAGCAGAACCATCGTATGTTCACAGACAATCCACTTGGCCCCCACGATGGGCCTACTGAGGATACAAATGGAAGGGACCAGCTCTCCCTACTCCCAGACCGTAGTCCCCACCCGGCCCCTACTCCTTCTTAATGGGCACTGACTTTCCTACCCAGACTCATGGAACTGGAGAGAAGAATTTTGATCCAACTGGGGTTTTAAGATCCTCCCCTTTACCAACACCTTCCTTAATCTCATCAGACTCAGGGAACTCTTTTTGCCTTTAGAAAAGTTAAGAATAATTTTCTCAAAACAGATGCTCCCAAACACTTTCCCTGAAGGATCATGGAAAGAATTTAGCATCCTCCCCCAAACCTGGTAGTCAGTTACCCACTCCTCTCCTCCTTCCCTCACCCCAGTCGGTCACCAAGACTCTAGAGCAGGGGTGGGCAAACTTTTTGACTCGAGGGCCACAATGGGTTCTTAAACTGGACCGGAGGGCCGGAACAAAAGCATGGATGGAGTGTTTGTGTGAACTAATATAAATTCAAAGTAAACATCATTACATAAAAGGGTACGGGTTTTTTTGTTGTTGTTGTTTTTTTTTAGTTTTATTCATTTCAAATGGGCCGGATCCGGCCCGCGGGCCGTAGTTTGCCCATGGCTGCTCTAGAGCCTACTTCAGTTGCTTACATCTGAAACCTCTTTCCATCTCCAATGCCTCTCCCGAAGTTCAGGCCTCCATTCATTCTACTAGGTTTACAATAATAGCTCCCTCACGATTCTCCCCTTGCTACACCCGAAAGGATTCCCCATAAACAGCCAGAGATTTTCTAAAATCTGTGCCTATCACTCCCTGATTAAATGGCTACACTGTCCTTAGGTTAAAGTTTACATTCCCTAGCATGACTCTCAGGGGCCTTGTGACCTGGCCCCTGCTTGATTCTCTTGCTGCTTCTCTTAATAGTGTCCCCTTATGCTGTCCCCAAGCCTTATTCCCCAAGCGTGTCAATCTCTCTCTGATTTGTGTCTAATACAGTCTTTTCCTTCCGTTTGCCTCCCCTATATGTCAGCTCTCTCTCTGATTCATTCTGAAGACTATACTTGAAGTTCCTCTTCTGTGCTCCCCAGTACCCCGTACTGGTCTATCGCTGACCTTCTCAAATGGCAATGTCATTGCCCACTACTTGACCATCTCTCCCACTAGACTTTGAGTTTCTTGGGGCTGGGTGTACATCCTTCTTTGATTTCATCTTTGAGGCTGGGATTATGTGCTGCACACTGCTGGGTCCCAGGACCTACCACACAGTAAGTGCTCCACAAACGTGTGTTTAGTAGACAGGTGAGTGGAGGAATAGATGGCGGAAGAAGGGCTGCTTCTCTCAGACGTGCTGAGTGATTTCTATCAGGTCCCATGTCTAGCCTACGACTGTGGCTCACCCCTCCTCCCAGTGGAGCCTTGTCTGGCAGCTACAGAGACATATGAACAAGGTGTGAGCCAAGCATTCTGGACACACACCATGTGAGAAGGAAACCCAAGGGGCTGTCTCTCCCTGGGGCCTTCTGAACAGGCCATGGACAGGAGCCATGGGGCCTGGCCCCTATCTGTGTGCAGAGAGAGAACAGATGGCTAGCCAGCTCCTTCAGAGCTCCCTGGGGACAGGCAACGTGTGGACACAGTTGATGGATGGCCTGACGGGCAGGGTGGCCACCAGAGCTGTCCCTGTGGGGCTAGAGTTGTCGGGGTACCCCGCCCGGGAGCATGGAGGAGGTGGGAAGGCTCTTTTCTTGGCATGGAACTAGGATTAGAACTGCTGCCAAGAAAAGGAGCAGGAGTAGGAGTGGGAGGAAGAGGAGATAGAGGATAAGAGTCTCAGTTGAGGCTACAGCACTCCCTCACCAGCTCCGGGGTCTGTCTCAGGAAACCAGAATGCCGGGCTCATGCTGCTCCTCTCCGCTGTGGCCTGAGACCCCACCACCTGCCCAGGTAAGAGGAGACGTGGGGCTTCTTTCAGCCCTCTGCTTCTTGTTGTCCGGTCAGTTCTAGGAGACTCATGAGGAAGGGACTTTCTACTGTGTCCCCTGCTCGATCCCCGGGGTGGGGGAAGAAGTCCTCTGGGCACCAGCTGGGCTTGCCCCGCGGGCCAGAGTGAGCCAGCATTTCTGAGATACCAGCTGGAAGGTGGGATCCACCGGGGTTTCCAAAGCTAAACCACCCACTTCCCCAGGGATGCGCTAACAGCAGCTAGTTGGGAAGGAGAGCGGCTGGGAAACATGAGATGCCAGGATGATCCTGTGCTATAAAGAGAAGAACTGAACAGCACCTGTGATGCCAAGCCCTGAGCCCCACAGAGGCCTGTGCTGTGGTTCAGCGGGGACCTGGCAACAATCCCCGGGGGACTCATTCTTTAAGAGGAAGACTATTCTATCTGTTGAAGGCAATGTTTGCCTGGGAGAAAGTAGGTAGACGTGGCAACATGGTATGGTCTTTGGTGCTGAGATAAAGACTCCCTCTAAGCTGGGGGAAGTTCCCCAAGTTCAGTGTAGCCTGGGGGCTAACACAGAGTAGGTGCTCAATGTATTTCTGGAATTAATGCGTCCAGGTCCTTCCTGGATTCTACGACAGGCTCCCCTCCCACTCACTACCCCTTCCTGACGAGCAAAGCTGCCTGACCCCACCAGCCCCCGGGTAAAGGAAGGTCTTGAACCCAATTCCAGTGCTTCCTGCCAGAGTCTGACCCTGCGGCTCCCAGGCCCTCCAGGCCCGACATGCTGCTAGGCTAGGCAGCCATCTGAGCAGCCACTTCCCCTCCCCGGGAGAAAGCTAGGACCAGGACTCTGCCTGTTTCCTTAGCATTTCCTCCCACTTCTGACTTGGATACATCTGGCTGGTCACTTAGTGCTGAAAGGTCCTGGCCAGGCCATGTACTGGTCAGGCTGCAGGGACCGGGACAGTCCTAATAGCCACAGCTGGAGAGAGGGGTGACCAGAGGCCAATTTGTCCTTCAGGGGTTGCCTCCAGGCAGAGCATTCCAAACTGGTAAGGAGCCAACCTATCAAGAGACCGCTGGGGTTACAGATCTCCATCTCCGTAGAGACCATCTTTCCAGGAGTTAAATCCGGTAGGTCCTTAGGAAGTAAACAGGCATTTGCTAAACTGATGGATACCTTTAACCTCAATCTCTTCTGGGCCTCTGTCACCCCCTCCCACCTTTGCTTTCTGTGGGCCGGGGTCTCAGGGATAGTCAGGTCATACTATCTCTGTAGGCTTAATCCCTGTTACTTTTCCAGGTCCATGCATTGCCTTCCTCCAGGAAAGATAATAAAACTCTGGGAGCACAAGTGATCTGTATAGATCAGATCGTCACTCCCCTACGCTTCAAGCCCTACAACGGTCTCATTTCAATGGGGTTAACCCAAAACTCCTACCACGATTTATAAGGTCTTTCATGATTTGGCCCCTGCTTATCTCGGCAACCTTACCTGGTATTCAACTCCTCACTCACGCAGGGGCAAGAGGAGGCCTGAGGTCATCTTCCCAGGAGCTACCAAAGCAGCTGTACATCCTAGATGTCCCATGACAGCCCAGATTTGACATAATTTACCTTTTTTTTCACCTCCAATGTCTAAATAACATGGAAATCCTATACTTTAGTCCAGAATATGAGACTGTCTGTCTCTCATATCTGGAACTGGCATGTGTTCGCCTCCATGCCTCAATTTTGGGCTCAGGAAATATGGTGCCCAAACCCTAACCCTCCGCCCCTTGTATCATGAAGCTTGTAAGACGGTGTATAGCCCCCACCTGAGGTGCCTTCTCCCCACCAGCGAGGTAGATGGTCCCTGAAGCCCACGGAGTGGCCCTGCTTTACTGCTCACACACTCGCTAGGCTCTCACTACAGCTCTTGAGTACCCTGATCATCCATCCTTCTAAGTGCAATCACCGTAGACATCAACAACCCAGTCCCTGCTCATCCCTCGCTGCCCAGGTCCCAAGGGAAACACTCACATCAGCCGGCTCCCTGCGTGGTCCCTCGCCACTCCGCAGCCAGCTCCGGCTGAGCTCGCTGAGCTCTGGGATGGGTTGCACCTTGAGCCGCACGCTGTCCCCTGACTGCCGGATCATCTCCACAATCTCATCCCTGGACTTGCTCTCCACGTTGTGCCCATTAATCTCCACCAGACGGTCACCTGGCACCAGCCCCAGGGCCAGGTCCTTGGTGCCCGCACCAGGCTCAGCAAAGTGAACCACCCTCCGATAGACCTGGCCCTCGGGGCTCCGATCCAGCATGGTTGTGCGCCGCAGGGAGAAGCCAAAGTCTCCAGTGGGCCTTCGTTGCAGCTCCAGCTCCCGGAGGGCAGGGGGTGGCGGGGGCACCACGGGGGGCAAGCGCAGGTCAGCCGGAAACCGTTTCGTCACCAGCTCAGGGACTTGGGACCGAGGCCCTGGTCGAGGGTGGCCTGGGCCAGGATGCTGCGCCAGTTGTCCCTCTAGAGTCCTCACCTCCACCTGTGGCGATGGGGCGGCAGAGTGCTCCGAGGGGGTGGAGGTCTCAGAGGCACTCTCGTCCCGGCTCCGCTGGGAGAAGGAGAAGCGCTTGACAATCATCTGGGAGTTCTGCTTGGCCAGGGAGCCGAACTTGGCCGCCCGCTGCAGCACGGAGCCCCGGAAACTGCCTTCCTCACCCTTGAGGTCATCGCTGGAGCTGGCTGTGCTGAGGTGGCCCGAGTCCAGGATGATGCTGCCCCTGTTGCTGTCGGAGTCAATGTCAGTCAGGTGCAGGTCGGAGCCGCTGGCCACCTTGATGGGGATGGGGTTGGAGATCTCCAGGCGCATCTTCGATTCGCGCTTGGAGGACCTCAAGTCCTGAGGGGTGGCCAAGGGTGTCTGAAGCAAGACATGTGAGTGGAGTATAAACCAGGCAGGCTCCTCAGCTCTGCCGCTGACATCCGCTCCTTCTTCTCCTTTTTCTCCTTCTTCTCCTTCCGCCCTCCATCTTTGTCCTTGTCTTTCTTCATTAGATTAAACATGGTGGGGGTGCTGTTTTGGGGGGGGTACCCCCAGAGGATTATGGGTGCTCAGCACAGGGCCTTTGTGTTCCACCTTGCTGCTGCAGACAGAAACAGAGAGAAAGAGAAAGGTGATTCCAGCAGAGCCTCTTCCCCGTCTCCAGTCCAGACGGGGCCAATTACTGAGCACAGCTACCCCCTCACAGCAAGCTCTGCCAGGTTCTCTGCCTCACACAATACTGTCTCAGTTAAGCGAAGCCTCATAACACTGCTATGAGGAGGTCTATTGTTACCCCCATTTTACAAATAAGGAAACTTGAGGTTTAGATAAGGTTGTAAAAACCCAAACTCCAAAGTCTCTCATTTCCTATGATCTCTGATAGGCCCGGGCTTGGGTGTGCATGGAGGTGGCATCTGGGCAATCTGACCTCCTGGCCAGGGGATGCCGTTAAGCCAAGTTGGGACTTGACTGAAGATGCAAACACAAGGGAAAATGAAAAGAGACTTTGTGCATCATCACCTCCCACAGCCAATGTCCCTTAAGGCAACAGACATCACATGCCCCTGGGCTCTTTCCTAAGCCCGGGATCCCTAGAACAGCAGCCTTAGCCACTGCCCGACAAAGGAGGACCTCAAAGAACCAACACTTGCTTAATGACTACCACTTGTCAGGCATAATGCCAGGCCCTTTACACACACTACCTCGTTTGAACTTTACAGCACCCCTGCAAGAAAAGTATCATTATCTCTACACATGAAAAAATTAAGTAGATATTAGTTGTCCAATAGCTAATAGGTGTCACTGTCAGGATTCAATGGCAAACATTGTTTTCTTTCTAGGTCCTGGGCACCCAAATTGGAGCCGGAAGGGAAGTGAGGGGAAGTTCCAGTCTGGACAGAGGACAGACAGCCGTGTGGTGGGGATGGGGGAGGGCGGCGAGGGGGTCTACTGGATAAACAGGATCCTGAAAAACTCACATCCGTTTCCCCAGACCAACACCTAAATATAGCCTCAGGAGGAAAGTTGTGGCGGGTGAGAGAAGACCTCAGCTCCAGGGCACGTGTGCCTATGGCGCCAACCTACTCCCACCCCAAGGCACACCTGACTGGGACAGGAGTGAGAAAAACTGATGTGGGTGGAGTTGAGAGGGCCTTTCTTGTTCTAACCGGCAGGGAACAAGAGGAAGAAGTAGGCCATACCACATAATTAAAAGCAAAATGTCATTTCTGTTCTCTCTCCATGAAGGCCTTCCCCCTGAACTCTAGACACAATGACCTACTGCAAGGCCCTGGAGAGGCCTTTCCTTTCTGTGTACCCCACCCCCACTCCCAAGCAGGCTCCCCATCCTACCGAGAGGGACCTCCAACCCAGATACAAAGCCTAAAAAGGCATCAAGGCCAGGAACTCCCAAGGGCCCAGGTACACCGGCTAATTGCCCAGCACTCTCTCCCAGTGGCTCCTGAGAGATCAGTGTATCCTCTCCAGAGCAGCACTATTCAAAAGAAATATAATTCAAGTCACGTATGTAACGTAAAATTTTCTAGCCGCCGCATTTTAAAAGGTAAAAAGGAACAGGTGAAATCAACCTACCCGATATTCATTGTCATCTTAATATGTAATCTATATAGAAAACATTGAGGTATCTTATATCCTCTTTTCCATGCTAAGTCCTTGAAATCCAATGCATATTTTACGCTTAGAGCACATTGCGATTCAGACCAACCACATTTCAAGTATTCAGCAGCCCCAAGTGGCTTGGCTAGAGGATTGGGCAGTACAGTTCTAGAGAAATCTTCAGGTGTAGAACACATCCAAAGAGGTGGGGAATCTGGTCTGGTCACTAGCTCCCTGCGAACCTCTCAGGTGCCCCTTTTATCCTCCCACCTCCGTTTCTATCTGGTAAAACAAAGTTCCCTCTGAACTTTTTGGTTCCAAAGGCTCATGCACATTACCTGGGGGTAGGAAGGCAAGAAATCTAGGGCCCAAGAGGCACAAAGCCAGGGGAACCTTGGCCAGATGGGTCTGGGCGGACTTGGGTTGGGGAAGTGCCTAACAGCAGACATCTCTTTAGGGCAGTGATGGCAAACCTATGACACGCGTGTCAGAGGTGACACGCGAACTCATTTTTTTTGGTTGATTTTTCTTTGTTAAATGGCATTTAAATATAGAAAATAAATATCAAAAATAGAAGTCTTTGTTTTACTATGGTTGCAAATATCAAAAAATTTCTATATGTGACATGGCACCAGAGTTAAGTTAGGGTTTTTCAAAATGCTGACACGCCGAGCTCAAAGGTTTGCCATCACTGCTTTAGGGCTGTACTTTGACATGGGGAGTCTCTCTGCCTCCTCCTGAACCACTGATGGGGGTGTGGTATAGACCCACCACATGCCAGGACATAAATAAGATCTTCAGCTGGTTGCTACCCACCTTACCCACCACTACTTGCACTGTCTTAAAGGGCTGGTTTGGAAGAGGGCTCCAGGGGCACCTGTGAGGGAATGAATAAAGAAACCCACCTCGGGGACCTGGAGGGGACAAACGAGGATCCCAGCCTCAACTCAACCACAGAGAACCCAAATGCCTTCACTGCTGACCCACCAAAACACCTTTCGGTCTCTAATTCTCACTCTTCAATCCTTACACAACCCTGGCTCTTTGCTGGGGGCTAAATATTTGAGCAGTATCAACAGAAAAGAGGCCCCAAATTCTAGAATCTTTGGGCTAGAAAGGTCCCTGGAAAGTAATTTCATGTAAACCCCTGTCTTGGCAAAAGCTTGCCCCTCACTGTCATTGTGACAGGCAGGAAGACAGACAGTCACAGCAGCAGCGCAGGGGACAGTGCTGGCCGGAAGTGTTAGGGGATTTGCTATCTAGGCCTGGATCTGTCAACAAGTCACCAGGGGACCTTGAGCCTGCCACTTTGCTCAAGGTTGAACTAGGTGATCTAGGTCCCTTCTAGCTCGAAAATTCCAAATATCTAAGTCTCTTGTGGACACAGGTTAGTTATTAACTTTCTGCTAACGTTACCCCTTCTCAACCCAACCCGGGGGCCTTTGGAGACTGAGTCCATTTCAGCCCTTCATTCATCCCCCCTGTGTTGCCACTGTTATCTGACAGCTCACAAGGTACCCATTCCCCACTGTCATCCCTACAATTGCCAGGCCTGGCTGAGGTCGGGGTTCTCTCCAGGGCCAAATACCTGAAGCTACCTATAACCTTCCCCTTCAGGGTCAGACCTGTAGTGCAGCTCTATGCTCCTCAGCACCCAATTCACTAGACACCTGGGCTCTGTCATCTTTTTGTAGACTCCGGACCTTCCAGCATCTGCTGTCCTCATGTCCAAAGTCTCCAGTAGCAATGATATCACCACTCCCCATTCTCCATTCCAGGCTGTAGTTTCTACCAGCCCCCCCTTCGTCTCTTACTCTCTCCAACCTTATAGTTTTTCTGACTTCCTTCTCTGCCTTTCTCCCCTCACCCTACTCCAGGCGGCCTTCCTAATTTTAAGTGAAGAAAAAGTATGCATGTAAACTAGAGTATGTATGTAAATTAGGGAATGTACCTAAATCATCGTGATCCTACTATCTTCAAAATCAAAGCAAAGGGCCATTGACTCAGTCAATTCAATTGCTTTATCACTTTAAAACAGAAAGCATTTTGAGGGCAAGGACCATTCAACTCAAATATGCATCTATCAGTTCACCAACAGGCGAAACAATTTACACATTCATATAATGGAATACTACTCAGGAATAAGAAAGGAGAAACTAGCCCTAGCAGGTTTGGTTCAGTGGATTGAACATTGGCCAGCGGACCGAAGGGTCCCAGGTTTGAGTCCAGTTAAGGGTATATGCCTCTGTTGCAGGCTCCTCCCCGGCCTGGGCCCTGACTGGGGCTCGTGCAGGAGGCAACCAATCAATGTGTTTCTCTCACATCTATATTTCTCTGTGTTTCCTTCTCTCTTTCACTCTCTAAAAATCAATGGAAAAACATCCTCAGGTGAGGATTTTAAAAAACAATAATAAATAAATATATATTTTTTCTAAAAAAGCAACTACTGATACACACAACAGGGATGAATCTCAAAAACATTATGTCAAGTCACAATAAAAGAAGGCTTTAACAAAAGAGTACATATGGGTATGGTACTTTTTTAAAATATATATTTTTATTGGTTTTTAGAGAGAGGAAGGGAGAGGGAGAAACATCGATGTGAATCGAGCATCGATGTGTCCTGACTGGAAATCAAACCAGCGAACTGGCAACTTTTCGGTGCAGGGGACGATGTCCAACCAACTGAGCCACACTGGCCAGGGCTGATATAGTACTATTTATATGATGTTCTAGTATAAGCAAAACCCACGTAAGCTGGAAAAAAAATCAGAACAGTGATACCTTTGGGAGGTGGGAGTATGAATGGCAGTGGGGATTGCCTGAGAGAGGGCATGAGGAGACTTTCCAGGGTGATGCTCATGTTACATATCTTGATAGGGGTTTGGATCGACAGGTGTATATATTCATCAAGAGTCATCAAATTGTGCACATAGATTTGTGCATTTCATTGTGTGACATATTCACTCAAAAGAAAAAAGAATTGTTAAGTAAGTATTGAACCCTCGTCAATGATATGTATACTAAAGTATTTGGCGCAAAGTATACTGATGTCTACAATTTACTTTCAGCTGCATAAAATATGTAAGATAGCTTGATGTATAGATCAAGGGTTAAATATGTGATAAAGCAAGGATAGTGCTAATTGTTAAATCTAGGATATGGGGGTTGTTCACTATAGAATTCTTTAACTTTTCTAAATGCTTACAGAGTTTTATAATAAAATATTGGGGAAATATGTATGTATCAAGCACCTATTAAATGCAAGGGATAGAAGATCAATAAAACTAATGAAAGAGCTTAGGTTTCAGATGTCAGGTAACAAACCTAGGAACAAATTCAAGTTAATAGCTACACAATCTTGGAGATAGGCCTCTGTGCCTCCATTTTTCCTTTTGTAAAATGGAGATAATAAGAGTACCTACCACATAAGGCATGGGAATTTTTTTTTTTAATTTTATTTTTTATTACGCATAAGGCATGGGA